CGGCCAGTAATTGCGGTGGAACAATATCACATATACATTACATTGGGCGAGGAAGTATGTGATGTTGTAGCACCACTAGTTTAAATACTGAAGTCTTTCATCTAAATAGTGACCATGCCATATATATGGTGAACATCTAGGAACTCCATATTAATTTTATACGAGTAGAAAATATGTACTGTTTTGAGTTTACAATAAGTGTTTGGGCAGATATTCTTTTCGAAGTCAGATACAGTTTCAAAAAAAATAAAATAGTCGATTAGTTTCGTCTTTATCTCTGTCCATCTTACGCTATCTACAGCAGATATTGAACCAGTTTATTCAGTTTCGTCAATCGTTTACTTTTCACACGAAACTACAAATATTTGTTAAAATTATAATAAAGTGACACTTCCTGAACAAATCCCCCAAAATAGCCATAAAGAAATCTCTCCTTCAAACGCCCTCCGCCCAAATTTACCTACAAAAGAGATTAATACCCTAACCAGGCATTGCTGGAGAACGTTGCGAATAGTAAACGGTTTCGCGCAATCTGGGCATCGACAAAGTTACAAATGTCAGTGGCTGTTCATCTGCATCAATTCACAAAAAAATAGTAACTGGGGATTTCATTTATATCATGAGAATTTTTTCTAGTTTAAACATCGATATTTTTTGCCAGCCTTACTTTTGAAGCCTAGGCACCAGCTTTTGTATTCCCTTGCATAGTAAGGCGAGTGTCCTTAACTACTTTATGTCAAAACAGTTATTAACTGTGTGTGACGTGCTATGGGGGAGAAGTTAAATTGAAGTTACACTTATGTCCAGAAGCAAAACAAAGGGCCATCTCAGCATTTGCTCAATGATCAGGGAAACTGGACGAAAACCTTATCGAGATGGGGGTCATTGACCCAGAAGCTTAAGTACAATACTTGTTACAGGTTCTTTGCAATTATACAATCCAAATGGGATATAATATATTAAATGTCATTGTTAAAATTAATATTACTTTCCTTTAGTATGCTCGGCATATTCTCTAATTGTATAGGAAAAGTTGTACAGCAGAAAATATTTTACATGGGGATTAAATTTTGTATTGAATTTAATTGTTTTAGGTCATCTGGCAAGGTGTTATAAAATAATGTACATGTATTGCGTGTGATTTTTTTGTACTGAGCTGTCGACACTGTCACTTGATGAATATGATTATTACGTCGCGAGTTGTTATAGATATCAGCGTTTGCTGAAAATATATTCCACGCATTAAGTCATTTGTAACGAAAAATACTGATTCATATATCAAGAGCCAGTAATGTAATGGTAAGATATCTAGATTAATAAAGAGGCTCACAAGAATCACGTAGGTAGGATTTGCTTATTATTTGTACAATTCTTTTTTGTAATCAAAAAGTCTGGGAACTATAAGATGTATTTCCTCAGAATATTATGCCATATCTCGGGCTTACTTAATACTCATTATTTCTAAACTAGTTGACCCGGTAATGCTTCGCTATTGCAGTCTATTATACTTCACACGTTACTTGTGAAATAATTGTTAATCTCGTTTTGCGCTTCGCTCTGCAAACATTCTAATAGATAGAAAACTTCCTAGAGAGTATGGGGTTTGTTCTATGACCTGGTTTGGACAGAGTTGTCAAGTATCCTATTGTTAAACGTTCTCCCTAAAGTTTGGGCATGCATTCGCTATGACACTGAGAAATTTGATTTCCTTCAAGTAATAATTCCGGCCGATGCTTCACAATCGCAGGGGGAAATGTGCAGCCAGAGACCCACTCAATACCTGACTGGCCAGCGAGTTGCGTAGGGCGCCTGTTCAGAAGCGCTCGAGTCATCATAAACGCGTAAATCATTAACAGCGCCCCCTTATGTCCATTTAATTTAAACCAGTTTAAACACTCCCGATACTAACAAGAACAAAGAGTGAAAATTTCAGCAAAATCCGTCGAGTAGTTTTTGCGTCAGTGTGCGAGAGATACATACATTCCCTTTTATTTATATACTCGTATAGATACTATTTAAACTAAGAATAGCAAAAGGAAGTTTGTTCAATAGTTATAATTTTAGAATAAGTAGTTTATTAACAATACGCCATGTGCACAAGCCATATCGGCTGCAGTGCTGACCGTATTTCAAAATATGAATAAATTCCCGCCTCTCCGTGGCTTCTGGAAAGGGGAGATCTTTATATGCATATAAAAAGAAAGGAAGCGAAGGATACTGGCCGCCGCTTCGCTGCGCAACGAGGCAAGACTGAGGTATCACATCTGTACGTGGAGCCAACGGGGGATGAACGATGAGGTGATAGGCTGCTATCACATTTCCTAACAGACTGATATCCTCAATGTGTCATTGTAAGCGTTCAAAAAACGTCCACAAGTTTTGGGTGCCAAATGAAACAAAAATTCTGTGACCTACACAGCCATTGTATTCTTAATTTCTGGATGTACTTCGAACATTGAATATCAGAATAAATTATAGAAAAACTAAAGTGGGAGATGGCCATTTCCAATAGCATGAATCCCCGAATTGGAGATGATGGTAGTTGATACTGATTAGGGCATGGTAATTATGTACTAAAAAGTCAGAAAATATGTATATGTATGTGTATTAAAATATACAGAAATATATACTAAAAGTAAGAGATATGTATCATCAAATCAATTCGTTTTTATTAAAATACTTTTATCTTACGGTATATTATTCTGTTTTATAATAGTCATAAAGACCAAAATTAAACATTACACTCTTCCTAATCCCATTATTTACAATAATTTCCGTAACGATAAGAAATAATATTTGTTTCAAAATTTCAGAAATTAAAATTTTTACTATCATCATGAAAGAAGGTCTTGAACTGACAAAAAGACTTGTATATCGCACGAGTCACTAGTGCGTATTTAAACTCGCACAGATCCTCTGGAGTGTGGTTAACATCCAGTGGCTGCATTGCCCCTCTCATTGCACTGCACTAAGAGCACAAATTGTTTCCGGGGTTTTCTATAGAACTGAAGGACTCGTTTTGCTTCATTAGATCTCCCATAGAAAATATGTAAAAATATGTTATTTTGGGTCAAATATGTACTTTCAAGTAAAATATGTAAAAATATGTTCTAAAAAGTCAATGCTTTTTGGCACTAACCGATATGAAACATGAAGATATTGTTGATTTGACTTGACAGAGAAATTAGGAAAATATGTTATTACATAATTATCCGGGCCCTAATAAAGATATTATGCTCTGGAAAATTGGAAGACCTACTGGAAAATTTAACATTACATTGAAACAAGATTTGATGTTATTTTTGGATATTGCTAAGGATATTACAATGAACATTATGACTAAAAAATTACGTAAGAAAGTTTGGACAAAAGCATGATGAAATGAAACACATGTGGAGCCGTGTGTGAACAAGTCGGAGGAAAGAAACAGAACAGTAACAGCTGAATACAAAACATAATGAAACAGTAAAATGTAAAAAACTAAGAATGTCAACATTGTGGTGACGTTCCCCCTTTCTGTAGTATCCAATAAAAAAAAATTAATGGATTGATTGCTAACATAGAAGCATCAATCGTCTCAGAATTATTGATTAATTCTGCCATAGTATTAGTCTTATTAGTAGAGTGCATATTTGTCCTGCCCAGCTGGCTATTTTCCTCTTCCGCTGGATGGTGAGATCCAGCACAGAATTCCCCCTCCAGCATCTTCCTCAGAAGGGCACTGCTGGGTCAAGCTCTAAGTCAAGCTCCTGGTTTCGTGACATGTGTGACAGTGTAGTGCATGACAATGAAGGAAGATAAAGGAAAGATCAATTATGATTGACAACCACAGAATTCACTGTTAGAACTGTGTTCCAGCACAACAAACTTACTTGTTAGAATTTTCTTCTAAAATGTATCTCTAAAGCCTCTCAAAGCAATACGCAACTGGCATAGTTGTGAAGTGTGGTGCCAAACTTGAGGAAAGGCACAAGAAGCTATTGGGAAAAGAAGCACTCATAAAGAGTTACATGAAGTTGTCTGGTGAAAAAGTAATAAGGATTAATGTAAATAGGTCTGTGTAGTAATTTACTGCATTGGAACTGGAGAGTAAAGAAGTTGTGTAAAGGAATCTGTGCAAATTGTACAAGGGTAATTGACAGAATGAGATTTCTTCAATTAGAATACCACACTTAAATGATGTCGTATAATAGTATTATAAAAAATACTTTGTGTGCCTTCTTTCGGAGGGGAAGTTGAGATTGCCGACTCATGTTGTATATTTACTGCATGTAAAAGATCAAGCCTATAAGAACCCTCTGAGCTACATTCAAATCGCCTGTTTTGTCCCCGAGGCATACCAGCTTTAGTAGCTAAATGGTGCAGCAGATGGCTGGGAGATTTGTATGGTCAGCCCTAAAGGCCAGTCTTCCCATGAGAAATTTTTGATATTGATTGATTGTTAAAATCAATATGAATAGTCTTCAAGAAAACCCTTGGTTGTTTTGAACATTGTTAACTTGTTCATTGTCTACAATATATACAGTGATCACACAGAAACCAAATTTAATTTTGAAACCGTATTGATGACAAATTTAGAGATACATTTCATTTCAATAAACAATGCTCTGTGAATAAGAAATTGGGACTGCACATCTGCATTAAAACTGTAAACAACAAGATAAATACCTTTGTTAAGAATAAATAAATAATATTTTAGCATACATGCAAAGCTTTAAGTACAAAACGTACGACAGCAATGTTAAATATTACACACAACCATCAGTAAATGGTAATAAAAATCCTGCGTAATGAAAGCAGTTACGAGCACAAGCACTTTTAAGCAGTCATAGAAAAAGAAATAATGTACAAGAGTCAAACCGTATTATTTATTAATACATATAGTTTGAACAAACCAAACAGACTTTAGAGAATGTAGCACTATAGCCAAACAGCATTCATCTAGCAAGAAATGGCAGTAAGCATGGCACAAAAGACAAAACAGAATGACTTCCAATAACCTACATCTCCTGGACAATGCTAAAGCTGCAGGCTTTCCTGTTCCGTGCAGGCATACAGAAGTCGTAACTAGTCTCACCACTGTCTGGAACAAAGATGCCAATCAATCCAACAATTACTCCATGATACACCAAAGCCCCAAATTTTCTCCAACTGGCAAAATACACATAACAAAGATTTTGGAAACTCTTTTCCAAGGTACATTCTTGTAGAATGAGCAGTAAAGAGCAAAGTTTTCAGAGAGCATGCACAAAAGGCTATAAGAAAATGAATAACACCAGACCAGACCAGATCAGATCAGACCACACCAGAAAGCATAAAAAGAAGCTCTTCTTTAGGTGTACACCCCCAAGGTTTAGCCGAGTCTTAATAAACAATAGTAAGTCAGTTGCTCATGTCAGAAATATACAAAACACGGAAATGCAGGGGGATAGTATGAGGAAAGAGAGAGAGAGAGATAGTGAAGGGAAATGGAGAGGAGAGTGAGAGGGCCGGAAAGAAATGAAAGATTAATAATGGGAAGGTCGGGATATGTAGCTATTCAATCACAAGGCTTGGTGTGAAGCACAGCATAGCTACCCAGACCAGGCTCTTGCAAAACACAACCAGACAACTGTATCCAAAATTAACCTGTTTCAGGAAGCATCCCCAGAAAGCTTCCTAGTTCCTACCATTTCAGTTCCAATTCAAAGGAATTTTCTGTACAGGCTAACACATGAGCAACTGCTGAATGTATTGGTTGCAAAATAAAATACAAAAAGTCAAAGGGCTGTTGGGTAGACTGACAAGACTGGATAATTGGGCACCCAGTAAAAATGGTTTCTTTGGTAGATCTTAGATTTTTATACTGCTTTTAGTTTTTTAAACTGCACTTATTATACGTCTTATTCAGTGCATTTCTCCTTTCCTACTTTGACTCTTACAACAAAACATCTCATAACAGGGAGGTACACACTTCTTCAAAATAGTTGAATTAAGAAGAAATTGAACTCCCCAATTTTTTCAGAAGCATTCTTTCCTCAAGCAATAACAAGAGTTCGAAAAATTCTACATTTATTTTAATTTAATATAAACATTCTGACTTGAATTTAAGCTTTTGCACACACCAATAATAACGCAAGTAAAAGGGAAGTGACAAACTACATAGTGACATGCTGCCAGGAAACTAGAGGAGGTTTGTACGTTTTGTCAGAAGGTGGATACTGTGTCAAATAGTTGCTCTCAAGTTAGTCAGTCAAAGATGTCACCCAGAAACTAAATAGTTAAATGACTCAACAATTCACCACTCAATGTCGCTCTTTGGTACATAATATACAGTCATCAAAGGAACATTAGACTTCTAGCCCCCCTCTGCTGGCCCGCGGGAGCCAGAACAGTAGCTTCTTATTCAATAACGCAAGATTACAAAAGCAAGCACACACCAGATCCAGGCAAGGAATTTAAAAAATCACAAAACCTCCAAATATCTGAACAAACTTTTCATAAATAAAGACTCAATGAACAGTATAAAATAATTATATTGAGTGTGCATATATTCAATACTGTCTTTTCTTAATGTTCATAATATCAACATCTCTTCATGAACTTCTTAAATACTTACTTCATATATACTTTGCATCATCAGAAACACAGTACAGGTATGTTTTAGAAAGAAAAAAATCCATGCACTGTATATAAGCTGGCAAGATTTAAGAGATTTGCCAAAAACAATAACCAAATAATGTGAATATTCAAACAATTTTACCACAGTAGTACCCAGATAACACAAAAAATGTAAAAAATAATCCTGATACAGAATGAATAAATTTATAAAACCAATGCAGAAGATCATGACAACAAAAAGTGTGTATATCAATTGCATTGGACTCTAAGAAATGATATAAAAGAGAAACCATATTAATTTCCAGTCTTAAAAACAGTAGTCTTCACACTATTCATGTTCAAAAATTTTAAAGCTAAAATATTTACTTCAGACCTTCGTTCCTGCATAAAAAATTAATTTAACCATTTTCCTCTTCCATCCAACTTTGTTAATAAACCAATTCATCGTATTTCAATCTTAAAATCAAAAAAAATGTTAGTTTGTTCAGATATTTTAACATCAGCTTCTCAGAAATAGAATTGGTACAAAACAGCAATAATGACATTTACCGAATTACTAAGAAAAGAGAATAAGAAAAAAGAAAAAACAACGGAACTAGCTGGAAACAAACACAGGTAATAACTGCGTATATTTATAAATAAATGTATATTAAACATCAGTTGCATAAATAAGAAATTTAAACTTTTCTGACATGAATGATTTTATAGTTAGCAGAAAGCACCAGTAAAATACATAATCATGGATCTAATTTTTCTTCTACTTCCTGAAAGAGCCATACATTTTACTGGAATAATTTTAGTTATGCGAGTCACATTTTATATAAATACACATACAAATCTAAGAAGAAAAATTTAAGAGAAAAATTCTCTCATGCATTACAATGCAAGAATTAAAGAAAATAATTGTTTCTTCACATTCCTTAAAGAACCGTAATGTGTTTTGAATCTTAACAAGTGCGATGAATCCAATCATTTCCATTGGTTTTCATAATAATCAGGAAATCACAATCGGGAATGAGAACATGATTCCACATTTCTAAGGAACGTGACTGCGACAATGGTACCTGGAAACAACTGATGGCAATGTCAATGTTCTTATTGGGGCTCTGCAATTCGGACTGCATTTGAAAGTGAAGAAAACTTTCCAAACACTTCTGTTGTAGGATTATGTATTAGTTGTGACGTGCTAAGTTAGAATATATTTAGTTTCAGATGTATCTCTTAAGAATTATTCTAAATACTTATGTTCATAACTAATTTCCCTTTCAAGTTATAATTTCTGATAAGATGTTTTTTGACTTATTAGGATGAATGCAATCCTGCAATATTACAGGAAAGTTGTAGAACCGACAAGAAAATCCCACCACAGTTCTGAATATTTTCTCAATGCTTTGAAGTAAGTGCAGTCAAACAAGCTGAGTATTCGGAAAGTGTCACAGCAACACAGTACTCCTTTCATCACTTTGAGGGATAAAATTGTGACTATAAACATAAAATAGGCAGTCAGGCTTAAGCAGCAATGAAGAAAGAAAACATGCTGAGGGAATCATGGGTGGTGGCCAAACGGCTTTCCATTGGCGAATAACGATATTAGAAATATTGTATAGGCATCACAGGGAAGGAAGGGTTGAAAAATGAATATGTAACAACTTGAAAGAAAAAATATCTTAAAACCATCTTAAAAGAAACAAGTTGGTTTCTGTAGATAAACCCAGATCTTGCCATTAAAATTGTGGAAAATGTAAAACACAAGGGTAGCAACAACACAATTTATGATCAGTGAGGATTCAGAAAAACAGGAATTGGCTCATTTTGTCCTAATAAAATAATATTACTGATTCTAGATGAAGATACAGCTGACACGTTCAAGTGATTTGACATGAACTGCAGCATTTGAGACGCAGTTTCTTCACAACAAGCCTGCTTTCAATGGCAATATTAAGCTCTTGCTGAGCAAAAGGCTTGGCATCAACTCTGGGCAAGGGAAATATTATCACAGACTTTGATGCAAATAATAGTAACAGTAATGAGAGCACAGAAACTGGTCAAGATTGATTGATTGGTGTTTCCGGGTGCATCAACTGCTAAGGTCATTGGTCCAGTAAGTGTTGTGCATGTTTTTAAATGAAGGGGGGGGGCGTGGTCTTAACTGCTGGATTGCAAGATCCGGCATCAACCTACATGTCAGTTAGCGAGGTTTTCTATAACCAGGGGGCCTCCCACCAGCAGGGCACCGCCTCAGCCAAGACAAGCTCTAAGCTCTCGACGTGTGGTAGTGAAGTGTGTGTAACTGTAAGTGTGTGTGATTGATGAGAACAGGACCAAGAAGGAGAAGGAACAGTTGCATGCGGTCCGTGGCCAGTTTGTTAGGGTACTGCTCGGGCATTTGCCAGGTGTTGATTCGAGAAACCACAGAAAAATCCTGTCACTGCCAGGACCTTAACCCAAGTCAAGAGACACTGCAGCAACATCATTTAATACTCTGAGCCACCTAAACCAGTATCTACATTATCCAAATAAGTGATGAATGTTTTAGTGAAGTAAACAACAAAAATGATAAAGAGGAAGAATTAAAAGCAAAAGAGTTTGCCAAGTAAAATTTCCTAGCAAGACAAGGATAAGATATTTCATGAGAAACACTGATCAAGAAGAGGACAACTATGAATTGACATTTTTAAGGAAACAAGTTAACAATCATTTATTGTTTTTGTTTTGTCTTTCCAAAAACTTATAGAAGTGAAATAGAGAAATCGTACTAGGTTACAAGTTTATAAAGTTCACAAGGTTAAACCAGAGATGAGAATGAAGGGAGAAAATATTTTCAGAAATATTAATAAGTATGACATTGAATAAACTGTTACATTTGTTAAAAACTAGTACTACATTTTTTTAAATTCAATATAGTGATTGATTTTGCAATTATGTCATCAGATTCTTATTACTAATGCACAATATGCGAGTAATTTCACTACATCATGTGATGTGTAACCAATCAACAATTGTTTACAATGAGTAGACATTACAAACGGAGGTCTTGGCTGTCCGGGATGCCTCATTGAAGGCTGGGTTGCCAATGTTTTGATCATTTTCTCGTGGTCTTGATCAGGGCAGGTCTGCAGAGGACTGTTGGGGATGACCAGCCCAGAACAAGACCACGAGAAGATGATCGAAATGTCAGCAATCCAGCCTTCAACATAACCTGAACAGCCAATCTCGACTCTGGCCACAGAATTCAGACATTTCAAATATAAACAAGATAATTGTTTTAGTGATCATCCAAATTGTTCAATAAAAAATAATGCAAATCTTCACTTTCAAGTTACAATATTTAACAGTGAATTTCATGAAATATATGAAAAGTTTGCTCCAATTCTCCCCACATTACAGTACTGTAAATACAACGAAAAAACCTACACATTTTCAAATCTCTTCCTTTTAGTAAAAGTCCTCATTCATTCAAAATAAAAAAACAATTGTGTAATG